AAATACCATAAATACACACAGCCATGTAATCATACGTACATACTGAATAGGAAGCGTGTGCATTGATCTGTTGTCTGAATCACTAACCCATCAAGAGTGTCAGTCGGCATGTATCAAATCTTTATTACCGGTGAGATTGTGATAACTGTCACACCTGACTTATTTGTCTGAATGACACGTCTGAAAACTAGGGGTGAACCGTTACACAGTTACTCGGGGTAACGATTTTCTGTGCTTTTGAATCAAAGTACCGTTGTGCTGCATGTGTTTGGAGTACATATATATCACGATGATGTGTCATTCCTTAATCAGTACGATGTATGGCATAAGTATATACACTTATAAGTAGACACATGTTAACGATAATAATGACAGAGATATAAATAAACGCAGGTCGGGTAAGTATTATTACCTTGGTTATTTATAAGTTGCCATTTTTTAAACAGTTTTTCATAAGATGAAAGAAATGATGGTGCAGAAAAAAAGACTAGCAATTAACACTATAACCGTGATGTAATCGCGTTACTCAATACAATCCACAAAGAACAAGATATAGGGCGCATTTTTACTATTTATTAGTTATATGATATAAATAATTCATTTATGGATACCAAAGAATGAATTTATATCACGCATTTGATTTTGTTTTATCATGAAATGTTTTTTAGTATGTCAAATCGGTTTTTAGATATCAATAACTGAATTTATTATCAAATGATGCACTTTATCATCTAAAAATCAAATATAGTATTGTATCTATAGCTTTCGTCTCCGTGAACTTTATGCCTATTATTTGATAATTCTTGAAGATAGGTACAGTATCGTAACATTTGCATATATAGTCATATTCAGATGATGTCTCTACATATATGTAAGGGTAGGGTTCTTCCTTTTGTTTAGTCAGCAGCTTTCCTCCTGGCTATGGATGTGGAACACGGGCTTTAGGGTTACATATGAATCTTTTTATCATTGTATTTTAAAGCGCTTTGAATATTATTATTTACTATCGTACTTACTTCATGTTTTAAATGAGACGTTTTATGTTTATATGTCACCACAAATTACAATTATTGCTTGTAAGCTCAACCCAATTGACAAATACTCAAAAAGATATGACTGGTAAACCATTAATGTACGTTGAAAAATATATATTGTAAATGCGAGAATGATGTATCTAGGATCAAGTAGAAGATATATGGTCAGCAGCGATGGGAATTTATTCAACATGCCCGTGAAAACAACACTGCTTTAGCTCAATGTTTACCACCCCTGGCGGCCATTATGCAACGGCCATCTTACCAACAACCCCGCGCTCTCGTCTACAGGTTTTATTCCTGTGGTACGGTAATTCGTAGAACCCTCTCCCCAAAGTGTATCCTCCATGATATAACCTACTCTCACTAATGAAATGCTGCCCTTTCCAGCGTCACGGCTATGGAGCTGAGACAAAGAGACCCAACCGTCATAAAGTAATTAGGGTCCAATAAAAACAATGCTCCACCAAACCTCATAAACATGATCACTGCGAGTCGTACTACAGACGTTTAATGTCAAATCACAAAAAAAGCATGTGAATAGCAATAACATTAAACAGGATCATGTATTCTCTTAACACTATCGCAAAACATCATGTAGAAGCCATAACAGTAATCATATTTTCCAACAAAATTACATCTAAAAATTAGACATCAGCAAGTTCATATAATAAGATGTGTATTAACATTTTTCGTCAGGAAATCAAAAGGATATCTCCTTGTTACCATCTCCAGGTTCAGCTAAACATGGGTCCTCCTTTAGTCAAAAGTTTGTTCCCCCTCTAATGAGTGTGAGCCGCGTCGCACACGAGTGACGAACGGGGTGCACACCCGTGTTCAACGCCTTGCACACGGGTATCATACGCGTGGCGGACAGGTTCCACGCGAGTGACCAACGGGGTTAACACGGGTTGCGTAACGCGTTGCCCATGCGTGTTAGGGGAATGAACTACTAGGCAGTAGTGTACCTATGCAATGACGGTATGAAAGTAATCATCTAGCCAATTTGATTTAGTGTCAGTTTTGAAAACTTACCAAGTGATCTTTGTAATGTGCAATTTCAATACAAGGTAATTACCGCTTTGCACAGATTCAATAAATATGTCACTGAAGGTCCTTTGAATTCAGTAGTCTGACTTGGCGGTGCGACTCAGTACCGAATAATGATAATGATAATGAGTAATGTAAACAAAGTACAAATTAAACATCAAATTGGCCTGGAGTGTAACTTTACCGCGCAACTCAAACGGTACTTGCAGGTTCCTTTGCCCTTTTAAGTACAATGGATGCTCTTCCCGTGTCTTTGACGTAGCTTGCCCATATATTTTGGGTGCTATGCCCAAGAATAATCTTTAATTCCGACATCAAAACTCTTAAATGCTGAATACTGCTTTGCTGTTAATTACATAATACTGACATACAATATTCATGTGTGTAGTGGTGGCTTACCCCAAAATGTCCCTAATCTGAATTCAAAGTTCTAGACAATACATTCAATTGTGTACCAAACTGTGCACATTAAAAACTTGTAACAAATGATTAATTTTGTGGTTTAGATTATTGAAATTACGAGTCTAGCTTAAAAGCGTGACTCGATAACCCTACAGCTTTGGTTTGTCTGCGCCCTACAACAGGGATTAACAGGGTAATTAGCCCTTTAAATCCAATGTTCTTCAGACCATGGTTGTTGTAAATCAGTTGCTATGACAGTGCGTGCAATGTTTGCAATTCTGTAGCGTTACGAATCATGTATTATAATTGCATGCTGCGACAAGTGAAGTATTAAGCTCCCCAGGATTCTTATCTGACTACACACAGATCCAGTTGAACTGACCGCAATGATAACATGCTAGGGCTTTGCTTTACATGTATATGTGTGCATATTGGATACAATGGATAAATCAAATCAAAATGATGAAAGCTTCAAAATCACTTTCATGATCTTAGGAAATCTCGGCTAAAAACAGAGTTCATTGTATTCTGATTATATCTTGAGCATGTAATTATAAATCACTGTCAAATAATAACAACGCAAAGTGTTACCGAAATGCCTGGAGCGGTCGGGTAGCCTGGTGGTTAAAGCGTTCGCTCGTCACGCCAAAGACCCGGGTTCGATTCCCGACATGGGTACAATGTGTGAAGCCCATTTCTGGTGTCCCCCGCCGTGATATTGCTGGAATATTGCTAAAAGCGGCGTAAAACCATACTCACTCACTCACTACCGAAATGCCTGCCCCGTCAGCAGCATCGTCAGAAACTCATGCTAAGGCAAGGCAAATTTTTTCAAGCCCAAAAGTAAATTGCACACTTTGACGCACACATCTTCCATCATGTCCCAGAATGTAGGGGAAAGGTGCGGGTTGATTTCTGGCCATGGGATTCTATGGACGTTGTGCTGCACGATGAGTACGGGCGTTTTCGCCCTGACAGACAAAATCTCGACCCACACGCCTTGCAAACGGGACAACAAGGGTGCCAGTGTGTCATCCCAATAATACTGTCCAGTGACCCTTCCTTGCATAATATGGTGTGGGGTTGCGCCAGCCATAGTGATGCCATCCCTCACTATAACCGATCCAAAGTCAAATCTGGTATGATCTCATGTTGACTTTGGCTTGAAATTTCGATGTCGCCAGGCACGATCACGGCTTCCAAGAAAGTGCAAAGTGAAACGGGACTCATCTGAAAACATCACACGCGACCAGCAACGTTTTCCACAGTTTCGATGTTGGCAATATTACGATTTATAAGATGCGGCACAACACTGGTTTCGGATCAAACGACTTGCAGACTATTACCAGTTTCCAGCGTGTCGATAGCACGTAGACAGCCCCGTCCTTTGCATACTACTACCAGTTTCCAGTGCGTCGATAGCACGTAGACGCTCCGTGCAGAACAGAACTAAGACTGAGAGAAATAATGGTCCACATTGATTAATCCTTGAAAGTATAAAAATCAAGAATGACACCCTACGCTTGTGCGTACTGCGTGAGGTACATGGAAACCATAGGATGTATTTTGGTATTATAGGTAACAGACATAAACGTTCTTGTGTGGGATGTGTGTCGTTATAATTTATCTGTGTTCTTATAGATGGCATAAACATGTCCTGATCCCCAGCTTGTTTGAAGAGTGCAATATCCGGTAACCTCAGATAGGCTTGAATGCTGATTGACGAAGTGGATGTTTGTGTTTTCAGCCTTTAAGGTCAGCGTGAATTGACGTGTTTTGTTAACCACTATGTCTGCAATCCACCATAGAATTAGATACTTATTCCTACTATTTTGGCCATTGTTTTAACAGGCGCTAATTATAACATCAAAGGTTAATGTATTTTAAAATGGATATTATTATTAAGTCCCTGATAAACATGATATAAGTACCGAATCAATGGCAAAGGACGAAACTAGCGGATAGCATGCTATGCAGCTGATGTGTTCAGATGTGTTTTGTCCACATCATGAGTCTCTTTTCCTGTGAATGTATGATGTAATATCTCCTGAACACAAAAGTTAGCGATCATGATCAGTTTTGTGTCATTTTATTGACAATTATAAGAATTTGTTGAGCTCCTCTAGTCCTTATCTAATTTATATATCGTCATAACCCTTCTGAAGAAGACCGCCTCCATGGTCAAGTGGTCGAGCAGTACAAGCTGTCTGTTTCCCTGTGTCGTTTGGTACAAAAGAGCACCATGTTTTAACTGTAAAGTATTGTTTGCAAGCTTCATGGCTTTCTCCTTTCAGACTTTCAAGCATAGCTTCCCACGGCACATCCATGGAAAATTTAGTTATATTGATTCTTTGACAATGGTTATATGATGTGAGAGGTTTTGTCGACTATATCCCTCCTTCAATCTTACTAAAGAGAATATCTAAGACCTCCTAATGTATACTTACTAATGTAGAAGTGACGCCAAACTCCAGTACTGTTTCTAAAAGGGGCAGTCTTATCTTTGAAGCCAAACACAGTAAGCTCACAAAGAAATGTTCCACTCAGGAATTGTGTATGGCTTTCCATAACCGAGGACGGGTAGATGGACAATATATCTACAAGGACTACGTTTTCGTCAGCAACTTTCATTAATACTTCTCTCTTACCGATCTCGTTTCTGAGAAAACAGAAATGCATTTAAGACTGTTTACCATAGTCCTATTCCTGACTGGTGTAGGATCAGGTTGTTGCACTTGCTTCAACGCCTCTTCTGTTGTGGCGATTGATGCCCATATGGAACGTTACATATTTAGGAAAGTAAGGTCATATTCTCTCTATTCCTGTGCATCGGCATGTCTGATGTCTTCAGTCTGCATGTCCTTCAACTTTGAGACCAAGACTCGCATCTGTGAACTCAACAGCAACAGCAGTGACCAGGTGGCTGTCACAACGCAGCCAGGATTTCTCTTCAGTGACATCAACCACTGGCCTAAGGTATTGTTATATTATTAATTATAAGCTATTATTTTTCGCGAGCAATAATTATTTCATGCGCAATGAGACTGTGTTACCCATATATTGTCGACAGGCAAAATACATGTATGCCAACGTTCACGTCACATCTTGTCGCCAGGCATATACTGTCGCAAGTGACAAAGCCAGAGTTCACTGCGTATATTGTCGACATTCGTCGGAGTGAAACAATATATTTGGAGATGATGATGTTGATGATTATGGTCGTGTTGATCATGATGATCATCGTTACATTTATAGAAAACATGTTAAACTAGATTTTAATCCCGTCGACAGGGAGATATCGTGTTTGTTTTGTTTTAAACATATTTTATTAACATATATGGTCAACGGAATTGGGCAAAAGCTATCCAACTTACGTGGCCCTTTCCCTACTCTATATGTACAGACATTGAATATACATATATATATACACATACACACATACTTATACATACGTATACAGAAATACATACATATGCACATAATCATATATACACTTGATCATATATACTAATACATACATACACATACTCATATACATATGAACATATTTCATTTAAGTAGTAACAAAGATAATTATATTTACACAAGATCACAAACACAATCACTGCAAAAAATCCATCTATACAAGCTTGAATATGCTTTGGAATGATGATATTTCCAAAGCATATAGAAGATTGGAATGATGATATATACAAAAATATACAAGTTTGTATATACGACATATACAAAAATATACAAATTTGTAAATATGGTGTATACAAATTTGTTTTCTTTGTATATATTGGTAAAGGGAGATAATTATTATGTATTTGTGTATAATTATTATATATGTGCAAATTGAAGTGTTTTAAGTTGAGCACTGTGTTTCTTTGTATATGTTGGTAAAGGAGGATAATTGCTATGTATTGTTCTATAATTGTTTTGTATGTGCAAAATAGTATCAGCAAGTTACAAAAAAACTGATATAGTGGTGGGTAATATTACTGGAATGTTTAATTAGTACTCCACACTGTTAGCGGGAGTACATACTCTCCTTGCAATGATATTGAAGGGTAAGAGATTGAGGCGTCTGGTACTTTTCCTGGCGCGGTGCTTGGTATGTGAGTAGATTTTATGGTCAAATGCACAGAGAGGTTGAGCTGTCGGGGTGATTCTGTCACACAGAAATTGTTAATACTCCAATAATGACTTTTTTAATGATAAAGTTGTCTTCTTTAAGTGAATGAGATGTTTTACAGTTGTTCATGTGAAAAACTATGAATGTTTATTCAGCGTCTGAAAACCCATAACATGTTTTATGTTTTACAAAAGATAAGTAAGTACAAAGGTATGCTTTTCTCAATATGCTTCGGCATGGGAAAAGGGACATTGCACGTTTGTGGCAGTATTGCTCCCATGTGGCGGCGGCGTCCACTAATGCCTACATCCACTAATGCCTACGGTCTACAAAAACAAACTCATGCACCAGTGATTTTCAGCGACACCTGCTATCAGTGCATCATTTCTGCATCATTGCATTAGTTCTTATAGTATGCACCAATATGCAGATATTTGATGATTTCAAAGAAATTTCAAAGAGTTCATTCCTAGCATGGGTATGTTGTTTTATTTGTGTAGGCATTATTCCACACTGCTTTATTTTTTTTGTAGGCAATAGTAACTGTAGGCAAAAGTGGACGTAGGCATTAGTGGCTGGAACCCAGGTGGCCGGGTGCACAGAAACTATTCCCGATTTTTTAAAAGTACTGATTTAACTCCGAAATTTTACATCCGCCATCTTTGTTTATTTGACTTTTGCCACTTTTACACTTGTTGGTATGAATATTGTCCAAACGGCACAAAATTGCTTAAAATGCAATCAAATGTTCAAAACATTTCTTTGGACTCAGCCTAATATCGTTAGCAAAGTCAACAAACTACGACCATAAATGTAATGTACAACAGGCGCAAGAAAATTTTAAAAAATTCTTACAAATACAAATGATAAGAAGTCGAATATGAATTCTTATACCTGTACTTTTTAGAACATGAAATTGACACATTGTCGTATTCAGATTAAATTGATGTGTTCTTTACTTATGGAAATGCAAATTATAAAAAAAAATTAACAGTGAGATACTCTGGCTATTGTACAAAGCATCCAGTCCTAATGAAAGTGAACAGCATGCCGATGTTATACAAAGCAATCATATTATATATTGCAACTGATAGTTCTTAACAATCAGGCAATCAACATAATGACGGTGTCAGTGGGCACATCGTGGTATTTGAAGATAAAAAATTATAACCGTAAATATAATGGGTCTTAAAATAAACAAAAGTCAGATTTTGTTGAGTACAGGGTATTCATGGTCAAGTACCGTATTGATGTTTCATACACTTTTCTGGATTTCGAGTTTTTTTGCAATTCATCGTTACAACGGACTGTAGTTAATTAATCTAGTTAACCTGCAGTACACTGTATCACTTAACGAGGATTAATCCCTGTCAGTTGTTGGTGAGTGATCAATTAATGTCTGGAGAAAGGGATTAGCTTTACTCACAATAAATTAACATTTCACACTGCAACAGAAGAGATTATCGATCATTATGCCTTTATAAGAAAGATAAAGATTGAATGATACATAACGGGCCGTGCCTGCATTATATAGCCTGCACGAATCGTCACTGTAAACTAATAGAGGATTAATTTCAATTTTACAGAATATTCAACTGCTAAGTATATGATAAAGTGTTGAAGTAGCATTAGATATGTTTGAGATTACAGTTTTCAATTAACTGTATAATGTACCTTGCTGTCTTTGAGAGAGTCAGTGTCTGTAGAGCTGGCTTGGTCTAATTGGTATTCAGTCCCTGGGACACAAATATTGTTTACTAGCATTGTATTGTGAGCGGATGCGTAAATAATATGTAATATATTTCCGTATTATATTTTATAGTACTTGTTGTTTTAATATTGTTAACAACAGAGAGAACGAAGATTTTTTTGTTGAAAAACCACAACAGCATGCATATATTCTAGCAACAGGAAACTTGATAAATATTCATTTTGCTTTATTTCTACTTTGGAAAACATAGTTGTCGCTCTGAAAGCTTGACGCTGAATAATTTGGCATGCGCATTGTTGGATGCAAACCAAATGTTTAATTCTCGCAAATTAAGACACCAGCGGCGGTATAGGAGCATATATCTAATGTAATTCAATACAGAATAATACATCAAGATGGCAGTTTCATTGTTAAGATTAAGTATTTCTAAAAATATAGCAATTAAATCTTGATAACTGTTTTTAATCATTGATCTTTTGGGAAAATTATAGTGGAACTGGTTGAGTGACTGACGTATTCTACATTAAAAATGACAATTACGTGATTTACATCATTAAAATTTAAAGTGATACAATTATAAGTGAGGGTTGTGATTTATTTAGGAACGAAGTCAGTATTTGGGGATTTAACTTGCACTTTCCGACATTGTGCTTATTTCGCACACAATTAAGAAAATAATGTAATTCATTTATTTATACGAAGTACAAATGCATCAACCCTAAATCACCCGACTTAGTTCATAGTTTGTTGAATGTTATTTCGTGAATACACAAATTGCATAACACATTCCCTGAGGACAAACCCAAATGGCCCGTCCCTTTGTGACAAGTGTTAATAGGAGAATGTATTGCCACCACATTATGTCCCGGCACTTTTATGACATGTAATGAACCTAGTCATTCCTTGGGTCTGTAACAACAAGATTGGTCTGATAAAATCAAAGTAGCATAAATGTTACGTAATTCGTATTCAAAATTTGACTGAAAACATATAACATGAATATAATTGCCCTTTTGGGGATAATATAATATTGGGAAAATATACTTAAAAGTACATGATTAAAGAATTTCAGAATCAACTGTTTCTTGTATTTATGGCCGACTTCACACAAACTGAATAATTAAACATATGTTTATAAAGCTATAATTACATGCATGACACCTACATTGTCATGAAATAATAATGTTGGTCATGTTTGTTAATTTGTACATTTCGTTATTATTGGTATCCTGAGGATGTTGTAATTATACACGTGTTCTGAACTTATTTAACGTAGAATACATGAACTGGCTGAGTGACTTTCGTCCATCAGTGTGAGGGATTTCCAACACATAAACCCTAAATCCTTTGTCAAACAGAAAGAAGTCATACAGATATTATATCTAACTGGTACTAACAGTTCACTATCAATCTCCTCTTATAACAAACTGTTACATTTAATATCCCCAAGCACCAATACCCTATATGCTCATGGAATAATTGTCAGAAACTCGAATAATATCCTGTCTACATGGTAACACCCGGTGATTGGTAAGACATTCAGACAATATGGCAGTCTGTATTCATTTCTTATATCCTAAAAGTCCCCACCAAGCTTCCTATATACAAAGTGTATTAAATAATACATATATACATTAAAACAGATCAAAAACGATTGGTCAACAGTTTGGTGCGGTTGATGGAAAGGTGTTCAATTACCAAGTAAAGCTATTTAGATGTTTAATACTTAATACGTGTCTTAAAATATGAATTAAATCTTAAGTTATAACATTAGTGCAAAATCACCCGAACGTAGGATGTACATGGATTGATTTCAAAATAGCTAAATTGACAAATTGTTTCCTATAAACCACTGAATATAAATTCACTTAGCCTTTAGAATAGAAAGGCGAATCATTTCTTAATATATTGTCTTTTAAGCCGATGGAAGTTTAAATCACTACAACCGAGTCCGAGGCGATAAAGGATTACGTGACAAAATCTGGTATCATGGCTTAACTGTATATAAGTAACACTGTCCAAGTTTAATAATCCTCTATATCAGATGACTATTCCAATTATTAATTGTATCAGGTAGGAATAACTTGGCATAGCATTCTGTTCTACAACATATAGCCTGTATATTGGTTCGATTTCTATAAATTTAAT